GTTTGTAACTAATTAACAATTTATTTGTTTCCAAGGATGATGCGAATTAAGCCGTTCCATAAAAAACGTGCTAATAACCAAAAAATAGCCGTAAAAACCCTTATATGTATACAGGGTGATGCATTTGAAATTTTTGAGAAAAACTACAATTTGCGTTTTTGACCACCCTGTATGAGCAAAAATCAAAATTGCAAAAATTAACAAATGAGATAAAAGCTGAGGTGTGTAAGTTTTTTTTGATATAAAATTCAGCACTCCAAATTTCAAAATGACGGACTGAGGGGTTGCCGAAGTGGGAGGTTTTTCTAGACCAAACACCTTATATCTCAGTAGCTAATTACCAAAACCGCATAATATGTTATATCAATTTTCTTCTTTTGAATTGGTTTATCCAAATATGCAATAAAATTTGAGACATACTATTGGAAAAATCAAAACTTTGATATGTAGATCGAAATTGGGACACCCTGTACAATGACCAATATTTTAGAAATGTGCCCTCAAATGTCATGTATAATATCCCATATATAGATTGTCCCAAAATGTATTTGTTTATGAGTAATATTCCGTCCACACATGGATGGGCCACCTGTATATATGTATATATATATATATATATATATATATATATATATCGTATATATATATATCGTATATATATATATCGTATATATATATACAGGGTGTCCCGAAAAAAGTGTGCAACATTCTACCGGTTTCTACAGCTTAAAATAGGAAGAAAAGTTTATATGAACAAAGGTCGACAAACGTCACCTAAGGGCGCTACGGTCTTTTAAAGGGGCTCCCCTGAAGATGGTTTTTCCTTAATATTTCCGAAACGTGTTGAGATAAAGACATAAAATTTGGTATTCTTGCCTAGTTTTTTATGCTGGATTTAAAAATATTAACAATTTTATACAGCTTTGTTTGGAAGCGTATGTAACAGGGACGGACAGGCTATTTTAGCCCCAAAATTTTTGTGTGATGTTATTTTTGAAATTCAATTTTAGAATTTGCAAATATAGGGTTTTCTAAATAAAAAGGTACTCTTATTGAATATCGATAAATTGTGCCATTTTTGAATAAAATCAAACTAAAAAATTTGTCACACGATAGGAAATGTACTGCGAATTTAAATGAATTGTTGAATAATTAGCCATGAGAACGAAAAAACTAATTTAATAATAGGTAAATATTACATGAATACATATTTCTAATGCAACATAGCTAACATTTAGACAAAAACAAAAGAAATAAATTTTTTCTACGAACGAAATTGAAATTTGGTTAAAAAAGAAGACATACAGTTGGATATACTTAAAACTAGCTTTACAATAAGTGTTCAAATAAATTCCCATTTTGTTCGACGAACTAATGATTGCGTAGCCCGAAAAGTGGAAAACCTTTTTCTTCTTATTTCATTTGCAGCCTGATGGATTGTTTGAAGTAAATCTTCTTGAGTATTTACTTCAGTCGAGTAAACTAGGACTTTTAATGACCCCTAAAAATAGAAATCCAATGGATTTAGGTCAGGTGAACGTGGCGGCCACGCTATAGGACCTCCTCGGCCTATCCACTTGTCTGGAAAATTGACATTCAACCGATTTCGAACACTGCGTTCAAAATGTGCAGGGGCGCCATCATGTCGAAAAAAACATATTTTCTTGAAACTGCTGGTGCACATCCAATGGTATTATATCCACGAGCTCATTCTGAAGAAAGTTCAGATACACCTCTGAATTAAGACGATTGGGATACTTCCCAATTACTTGATCCCCAATTACTCCTGCCCATAAGTTCAACGAAAATCTATGTTGGAAATTTGTACGGCGATCAACTTTTGGATTTTCAACTGACCAGTGATGCATGTTACAGAAAATAAAAGCACCATTCCTAGTAAATATCCGACCATAAGATTCTAGGAATAGTGTTTTCATTTGCTAATATCCACTGGCAAAACTCGGTTCGTGGTAAAAAATCTGCCTCCGTTACGTGCTGCACCCGTTTAAAATGATAAGGATGTAAACCTTGCATTCTTGTCATTCTTCCTATCTAAAATTATTATTTTTAGGATAACTATCAAATAGGTATTCATAAATTTTTCTTACTATTTGCGGATTATTTTCAAACATATTTAAAGCAATATCCATACGATGATTTCCCAGTGGCCTTCCTGAGTCCTGCATGCGCTGAAAACTTCCATGGTTTGACAAATTCCGGTGAATATCAGTAAACATTCGACGTCCAGGTACTATGGGAAATCTTCTTTGATATTCTCTTACGGCTGCCAATGAACTGCCGTTGAAAAACCCGTACACAAAATGCATGTCAGTCAGTTCTATCTCTGTAAATCTTGGCATTTTAACCCTTTGACGCCTACTGGTTTCACGACGAAACCACCTGAATAAGAATTAATTTCTAATCGCCGAATGGTCTTGGTGCGTAACCTCATACAGTCACGTGCCCTTGAGACTCCATCTGATAGGCTTTGACAGTTGCGTCGGTTGTATTTGGTTTCCTAGCGTAATGATAACGTTCAGTGTGCGTTGTTGCAGCAAACAGGTGGTTGATCAAAATAAATAGGGGATTTTTCGCTGTTAGATAAACAATGGGAGGTAAGTAAATAGATGATTTATATGATATGATGTTGATCATGATTGTAAAATATTTGGGGATTGAATTTGACCAAATTTAGCTCATATTTTTATACAAAAATACCTTCGGTTACGTTATGAAACCAGTAGGCATGCCGTGTTTTTTTTTCAGATCAGAACAAGAAATATTATTTTGCCGACTTAGAAAAGATGAGTTCAGATGAACACATGAATGAAGATGTGCAGGATATTGCTTGTCCTCGTTTAGTTTTGGAGTATAATAAGCACATGGGTTATGTAGATAAACTAGACATGTTGAAGTCAATTTATGAATTAGATCGAAAATCTAAAAAGTGGTGGCTGCGCATTTTTTGGTATTTACTTGAAATATCCCTAGTGAATGCATACATAATTTTCAAGAACCGAAATACTACGACTAAGTCCGGCAAATGTATGACATTGAAGCATTTCAAGCTAGCAGTATGCTTGCGACTTATTGGAGCAGACGAAAATATTCCAAAGAAAGGGCGGATATCATCAGTGCAACAAAATACCTTCAAAGCCAATGTGCCTCAGGAAATTCGATATGATTCTTGTGCACACATGCCAATCCATGGAAGTTCAAGAAGATGTGCTTATTGCAGCTCTACATCATCACCACACCGGACGAAATGGATTTGTTCCAGGTAAAGAAAGTAATGCTTCATCTTCTTTTTAGTTTTAGCAAAAACTTTTTTTTTCAGATGCAACGTTGGATTATGCCTCAACGCAAATAAAAATTGTTTCCTTCCGTATCACAGACGATAAATGGAAAATATCGGATTTGTCTTCTTTTATTACTTGAAATAAAATTTTGTTTAAAAAAATCATTAGTTCCTTTTACTACCTAGTGGTTTCATAATGAAACCATATTCTAAAGCATTTCAGGATTAAAAAAAATAAATAAAATGTGTAAAGTTATAACATATTGTTCACATTTACCCATATTAAAAGAAAAAGATTCGCAAATTCGAAAAAAAATTAAATCCGGCGTCAAAGGGTTAAATGGATTTAATAAAAATTTTGATTTTAAACTAGTAATCTTACACTGCTAACAATGTCAGCTTAACGTCAAAATAAGTCATAACAAATCAAAACAACTTTTGTTTGCAGTCATGGCTAACTATATATGTATAATCAACAATTCTTTTAAATTCACAGTACAAATTTTTTAGTTTGATTTTATTCAAAAATGGCACAATTTATCGATATTCAATAAGAGTACCTTTTTTATGTAGAAAATTCTAAATTTTCAAATTCTAAAATTGAATTTCAAAAATAGATTTACACAAAAATTTTGGGGCTAAAATAACCTGAGTTCGTCCCTGTTACATACGCTTCCAAACAAAACTGTCTAAAATTGTTAATAGTATAAAAAACTAGGCTAGAATACTAAATTTTATGTCTTTACCTCAACACGTTTCGGAAATATTAAGGAAAAACCATCTTCAGGGGAGCCCCTTTAAAAGACCGTAGCGCCCTTAGGGGACGTTTGTCGACCTATGTTTATATAAACTTTTCTTCCTATTTTAAGCTCTAGCTCTAATATACATATATTCATACATACATACAAGCATACATACATACATGCATAGATACATACATGCATTCATACAGGTCATGCTGATAAAAGCGTGTTAAAATTATAAAAAAAAGTGTACCAAACGCTTCCCCTTATGAGGATTGAACTCAGGACCACTTGTTTACAGGTCCAGTGCTTTACCACTTGGGCTACAAAGGCTTCTGATTTCAATGTTCGTAAAGCGGCATTTAAAGTCCGTGGCTTTTCATTAGCAATCTGCTTTTTGAAGAATTTTTCTTATAAGGATAATGGAAAACTGTTATCAAATTATTGCATTGTCATGGGTGCTTGATACGTGTGTGAAGTTTCAAATTAATCACACTTCTGAAAATTTGTGAAAATTATGCTCAAAGATTCCGTTACATGCCGTTACAGGCCTAAGCGTGTTAAAAAAAACAAAAGATATTATAATGTAGTTCTCAAAAATTTGATAACAGAGCCGGTTAAAGTGAGTAGTTTAATCCCGTTGGAACTACAGGTTTGGATAGTTTTTGACAGCTCTCATTACAGCACCATTGCTGGATTCCGATGAATGGAAACTAGACTTCTCAAACTCTCAATCTAAACGTTCGATAATTCCATCCATCAATCTGCTGTACTAGATCCTAAAAGAAGTAAATTTTCTAAAACGTTATGAACAATTCAAACCATATTATCTATTTTGTTTTACCTTGTATAATTAGCAGGATTTAAAGACAACATACGATGGGAATTTCCTAGACCGTGGTATTCTAAGCTATACCGATGCGTCAGTTAAATCTACTTGCAATTTTTGCAGAGTGAACATGAGGGCCCCAATAATGAAATCTCGGAAGAAGGTGGTAAATTTAGAAGACGTAATCAGGACGAAGCCCTTTCCACATATCCCCACAGTATCATCCTTATATACAGGTATTCCAGATGATCCATCTCCTCCTGAAGAGCCTGATGTACTTCCTACAGTGCCCGAAGTTCCTGAGGAGCCTGAAGAGGAAGAGGAGGACGAGGAGGAGAACGAGGAGGACGAGGACGACGAAGACCCTACCTGCTGTCAAACATTTCGCATGAGAAGGTAGGGGGTATAAAGCTCGAATACACGTTGATTCAGAATGCGAGATGTGGCTCACAAGAGTTCCAGTTTTGCTATAGTCAATCCTATACTATAGCTGTGACTATAGGTACAGAGTGTAAAGTTAGTAGTGGATCAACGGAAGTCAGGTGATAGACGGCCTCAAAACCTATCGAATGAACCCCTATATGGGTGGTCAGAAATTTTAGTAGTAGTAGTTCAGGAAATATTTGCAATACTGTGAAATTTCGAAAAAAAAACGGGACTATGAACTTTCAGTCGCAATTACAACTAAATCATTAGGTTTAGGGCTGTGACTCTTTTCTCATATGAGCTAAATGGTTAGTTTTAGCAATGGTTATGTCACTTTTTAATAGAGCCTATTGGAAATAAATGCAAAAAAATATTAAATTCATTTTTTTGTGAAACATTACTTCCATCCCTGTATTGTGGAGTTCGGTAAAAAAATTGAGTTTGTATTTCATTATTCATTTTATTGTAAAATCTATTTAAATCCATGTAGAATAAACCCTGAAAATTTCAGGTTGCTACGATGAGTGTATCATGTCACATTCGTTGTTGTGATGCGATAAACGTAAGAAACGCAACAGAATACTTACCACCTACAAGTACAGAACCTGTTGTGTTTCGTCGCTCTTCATGGCGATTTACCGACAAATGTGGAAGACAATTTGATTTAACTAACTTTTGAAGAACATGTTCGGAATGGCCTCCATTATTTTCTATACAAAAAACTGTCCTTTAGTATTTGAAATGAATTTGCGTTTTCCATATTTTTTATTTTTTACTTCATCAATTTTCTGGCGCAGTTGGTTGACACTTGTATATTCAGATGTATAGAGTATCCCCTTATTAAACCTCCATATAAAAAATCTAGAGGATTTAAATCGGGTGACCTTGGAGGCCATCGTATGTGTCCAACTCTACCTATCCCACGCCCAGGAAAGGCTGTCTAAGTCACAAAAGATATACACTGAAGAAGGTTTAATTCCATGCTATTCAATGACAACACGGTGACTTGTGTGGTTGTCAGCGGCCATTTTTTGAGGGTGCGACATGGTTGCCAGATTGTGCATTAATATCCCGCAACGTTGCCAGCTCTACATATAAATCTAAAATTATTATACTTTTATATATATGAATTTGGTGGGATATGGGAGATCTTATTACAGCATATATTATTAACATTTTGCGCTATCTTGAACAATATTTTTTTTTGTATGTTAAAATAGCAATGTCAATAACATATGCTGTTATAAGATAACTCATATCTACTTACTAATCTGGAAAGGTTCAGAAGAAAAACGTATATACTGCAAATACCTAAATATGTATATATTTGTTAAACGAATCTCATACATTTTTCTACAAACATATCAGTATTAACATTATTATGGACCAAAATTGAATTGTGTTGATATGTCACTACAATTCCCATATTTCTTTGTTTTATTAGAACAATAATATTATTGTCCACGGGTACCCACAGGAATTTTTCTCAGTGGTGCTGAGCATCATCATCAAGAGATAACTGTTACCACGATTCCCCTGACACCGCCCTGTGGGCACCCAAATATAACTATAAAATTTCGGACCACACATATAGGGGTTCAGTCGATATGTTTTAAGGTCCTCTATCACCTGACTTCGTTAATCCACTACTAACTATACACCCGGTATGTATGTAGGCGGCAAGGCTTTGGTATCTCGCATTTCGAATCCTGCATTCTGGATTATTGATGAATTTAATCATGTTCGAAATAGCTCTTGATTTTATCCAATTTGAGGGCCCGTTAAAGCGTTGCCGCAAACTGAGAAAACCCATCTAGTCTTGGAAGTACTCGACATGAATGTTGATAAATTTTTACTTTTTGTCCCACATGAACGTATTCAGGAAAGGCAAGGGGGACAGCCGCCCCCCTTTCAGGCCTCAGAAAGTAAAATGAAAAGACTATTTTTTACATGATAGAAAAATTGTCTCTGTAGTCTTAACGTCAATATATGCTGAATGACATAGAATTTGGTTTCGTAGAGCCTTCAATGTTTGTGGAGGGTGAGGTGAATTTTGCGACCTTGTTTCTACCATGTCCCATACATGTTCGATGGGGGAAAGGTCTGGAGATCGAGGAGGCCACTGGAGCAGATTTACTCAGGACGAAGTTTCTATCAAAATCCAATAAATAATTCTGGGTGTTGCATTTTATATGTCCCTTAGTATACAGGGTGTTCGAAAAATAGACATATTTTAGAGGGTGATTCCTTTGTTAAAAAATATGAAAAAAGGTTTATATAAGCATGGGTTCTCAAGATACAGGGTGATAAATTTAAATTTTTGTTTCTTTTTTTTATTAATATCTTCTAGATTTTGTTGAAATTTGGCAATATTATTTGTTATATATTATAATATTATTAGGTCCAGTGGCGTCCCGAGGTCACCTTAGCAAATATTATTGGTGAAAAAATGTACGTACTGCCTTTCTTGCAAATACATGTTTTTTAACTTGTTGTTTGATTAAGCATATAAAAATATAACTTCGTTGCCGCTTGTATTTTTTTCGTATCTCACTTCGTTTTCGAGAAAAAAAATTAAAATCGTTTAATTGCATGTCACTACACAAAATTGATTTGTTAATTTTTGCAAAAAAAATGATTTCTGTAATTTTATTTGCGAAATTTCTCTAAAAAGTTGAATAAAAATTATTACCCAGTACCTTGGAAACTCATGCATGCATTTCCGGACCCATGTTTATAGAAACTTTTTTCGATACTTTCACCCTCTAAAATATCTCCGTCTATTTTTCGAACACCCTGTATTTGGGACTAGTTATTTGACTTATTCAGAGAGTCTTCGAAACATTGTTTTCAGATAACATATCTTCAACTCTATGTATCTTGCTGTTATAATGCAAAAAATTTTTATAACCGAGCTAGTCAGGAAAATACGTAAATATATGTGGGATTCTCAAATTATTTCAAAGCAAATTGCGTCCGACGGTAGAAATGGAATCTACCTCGAAAGTGTGGTAACTTTATTACAATGGTCTTAAAATAAACTTTGTTTTAAATGAAACTAGTATGGTTATTTGTATTCATATTTTAAATAATTTGAATTTGGAAAAACCGATTGAGAAACATCGATGAAATATCCACAAACAGAAATTCCTTCCGCTCTGATTTTCAAAATATGGAGCAATATGTTTTAATATTCGTAACAACAAATTAATAAAGAATCGTCGGACGTTGTTTACTGGATAATATCGCTTACGCATATTGGTAGATTTGCATTTGAAATATGAAAAATGGGATCGCAAATTTTGTTTTTTCATACCGCCACAAAATCAAAAAGACACTAAATGGAAAATTCATATTTATGTTTCACTGGCTGTTAAATGAAACCATATACGTCGAAGGAAAATCTGGTTGTCGTTTCGGTGGTGGTCTTTTTCACCGAGGTGGGCGAAATGCAGTAAGATTTTCCTTTCCACATGGAACATGGAAAGAAATCTGCGAGACATCCGCAAGATCAGTTTTAGAAGCTGCATCAATAAATCTCAAGCATGAGGGGTTCTAGAATTTTTGATCTGATGACCAGTTTGTGACGGCGTTTTCACGTGCTCGTGCTCCTGATGTGTAACATCTGGAACTTATCCAGATTTTCATGCAGATAATCACTTTTGTCTAGCCGAATCCAGCCTCATATTTTTCCACCGAAGCCTTAGCGCACGGCACCGCTACTAGACTATTCCACAATCTCGATACCCTAGGGACAAAGGAGCAATCGTATCGGCCAGTTCTGGATGTACGAACTTCGACACGGTTAGGATGCGACGCCAAAGTTAGGCGGGTCTGTCTGGCAGGCACATAGCGCGGCGGCATCATGGAAGAGAGCTCTGAGGTGTAAAGCCCGTTGTTGTGTCGATCAGTCGGACCGCCCTCCTCTGGACAGCATCGAGCATGGATAATGTAGTCGGGGCGGCAGCACCCCAAACGTGTGAGCAATACTCGAGGCTAGGCCTTATCTGGGCCTTGTATAGAGTGAGAAGGTCATGCGGAGAAAAGTACTTCTTAGCCTTAAGCAAATAGCATAGCTGTTTCCCAGCAGCTGCAGCTATTGAGGAGATGTACTCGTGCCAGATCAGGTCCTCGGTGACCTGGACTCCGACCAGCCGAAATGAATTGCTTTTTGGCAGAACTCGGCCATCCACCGAAACCGGATGAGCGCTAGGACGCTTTTTGTTCGTCAAAGTACAGTACTGTGTTTTGGAAGCATTGAACTGTATAAGATTGGTACGTCCCCAAGCAGTGATAGCCTCCAGGTCTCTTTTCAGAGAGGAAGTCGTCGCTAGTCTTCTTTTTTCCAGCTCAGCGGCAGAGATCGGCTTGTCACTCTTAATTCCTGCATCTAGAGTCCTGCAATCAGCGAATCTGTGGATTTGGTTGATCGTGCAGGAAAGGAGGTTGTTGATATGTAAGAGAAACAGTGTCGTAGCCAAGACCGATCCCTGGGGATGACCCGCGTTGGCGTTGTGGGATGAAGAGGAGAACCCGTCAATTACGACGGATATCTTGCGGCCAGAGATAAAGTCAGCCACCCGTCTGCAAAGCTTTACTGGAGGCCACAGGTTGGAAGTTTGCTCAAGAGGGTAGCGTGCCACAGCTGATCGAACACTTTCGTGATGTCAAGAGCAGCGACATGAGCCTCACCATAAGACTGGATGAGTTTACTCCACAATTGAGTGACGTAAGCTAGTAGGTCCCCTGTGGATCGTTGGTGCTGGAAACCATACTGCCTGTCGCTAGTCAACCTGTGACGTTTGAGGTAGTCCAGAAGCTCGCGATTTATGCACCTCTCCATCACCTTACTTATAACAGAAAGCAGCGCTATAGGCCAGTAGTTGTAAGGGTCCTTAGATCCTTTTTTTGGGACGGGTTGGACATGAGCAAATTTCCAGTTTTCTAGGAAGGTGCCGGATTCATAAGATGCACACCCCTTC